CACTAAATATTCCCCCTGCTCACACTCCAAACGATCTTTTGGGCCCCCAAAGTCCCATTCGTTTCCTTCACCCCCTATCTAACACGCTCACGCACGCTTGCGGAAGTCCAACCCCTTCCCCACAAAACCCTCCTTTACCCCCTCTCCCCAACCCTTTCGAGGAGCCCCCTCCCCCGCCTTCCTTCCCCTATGTTTTATATGCTTTCCATGTCTTCTACTGTGATCCCATCCTCTAAATGCCCAAAAACCACCTCAAAAACCCCCTCTTCTCCCCTCGGACAAATCTTTTATTACTCCCACCTTCTCCTAATTTCCACACTCCAAATTTTCTGCATAAATTTACACCCACATTCCCCTTAAACAGGAATCCCCGCTGCCCCCAAACCCGGCCCCTCGTGCTGCATTTACCACCAAGCTTCACCCCCATTAGAGTGTTGGTACTACTTATTTCATCCCCCTTTCTTTGCCCCCATGATAAGTTTTTTGCTCCACTATATCAACGCACACTCCCTTTTTTCCCTCATCAATTCTATGTTTAAACCTCACCTTCTAAATCCATCCCCCGAACGTAACTCCCAAGTATCTGAAAACATTCCTTCTTCCTATCCTCCTCCCCAATTTGTATCCAATTTTTCTTTATTAAATCTTTTGACCCCTCATCCCTTATTTTTTTTTACTTCTTTAAATTTTTCTCCTTTCACACATTCCCAAACTCATCCACTAACCTTTGCAATTTTTTCTTTAAAAATTCCCCCAAAGACGTATATCACAAAAAGAAAACTGTGTAAATTTCCCCTTTTTGTTTGTTTCCCAAAATTTAATCCCCCCCCTCTCCAAACCCCCTAGCTTTATTTCCCTTACACCCCACTATAAATTATTAAACAACCAGGTGACATTAACCCCCTTCTAAGCCCTACTTTTACCGGGAAGTGTCTCCCTCTTTTAAACCCCAACTGGCCTCACTACTCATAAAAAACTCTTTACGCATTTTTAAAAATTACCACCTATTCCATATAATTGAAAATCTGCCCTTGCTCCTCTATCCCTCTATCATTGCCTTTTTAAATCCCTAAATGCAATAAAAAAATTTCCCTATCTTTTTCTAAATAGTTCACAATTTTGCTTCAATGTAAACACCTGATTACACTCCCCTACCCATCAAAAAATCCCTTTCTCTCCGATCCCACATTCGTTTACCTTAATTTTTTCAATTTAACCCCACCCTCACTTTTCCCGGTATATCGTAAGTTATTCCTCTATAATTTTTTCAGTTCTTTTTTTCCCCCTTTTCCCCCTTTTTTAAAGGGACTATAATGCTCTCTGCCAATCCCCCGGACCTTCCCCTTTTTACATTTTTAAAAAAAGTACCAACCCTCCAAACTTATCCCCCCCGCTTTTAACATTTCTGTCATGTCCACGTTAGCTGCTTTACCCCTTTATTTTACGAAAGCCTCACTCCCCCCACATTACATTTGCTCTTCTTATCTAAAAAATGGTATACCTCCTGACCCGTGCATGAAAATTCGCCTCTGTTTTTTCCTTAACATTTAAAAGTTTCCCCAAAATATTCTGCCCTCTACCCCAAAACCCCCATCTCCCCCTTATAACTCCTACTCTGTTTTTTAAATGACAAATCCATATTTTCCCTGGGTTTCTTAAATTTTTTAACTCACTCCCAAAATTTTTTTTTTATTTTCATTTAAAAATTTTTTGACAGTGCCTCTCCCCTTATCTCTGCCTCCCTTTTTTACTCTTCACCACTCTCTTTACCCTTTTTTTTACTCTATATACTTGCTCTTCTTATACCCTTCTGCTTTTTAAAAACCCCTCATAAGCTCCTTTTTTCTTTTTCAACCCTTTACTTCATCATTCCACCAATCACTCCTCTTTTCCCCCTGCCCCACCCCCCTAAACACAAACTTCTGCCCCCCTTTAAAACTGCATTTTAAAACTTTCCAACCCTCTTCAACCCCCCCACTACTATCTTTGCACTAGCCCACCCTTTTTGCCCAAAGTCGTTTATCTCACCCGAATTCCTCCCCCCTGTTTATCCTTTCACCCCCTTTACTTGTTGTTGCCCCCTTTCCCCTTTTCCCATCTACCCCTTACTCTAATGTAGCTACAATAAATAATGATCCCATATTCAGTTGCCCCCTATAAAAAAGTACATGGAGCCTACCCCTCAACCCCTTTTTTCCAAATCATAAAACAATAAATACTTTCATTGTGCTAATCATACCTTGTTTTTTTTTATTTTTTTTATATTTTTACTATTATATTATATGTATTTATTATTTCATATTATTATTGTTTGGAAAGACACATATGCAACAGTTTGGTATTTTTTTCGAAAAGTTTCGCCTACACAGTAGGGTTCTTCAGTCAGTACAGAAAAGTTGATAGGGAAACAGAAGTACTTTAAGACGTGTAAACAGTCTCACCCCTTAAAATTTTTAGTGGCAGTCCCTCGTCTGGGAAAAGGGTTGTTCCAAGTATGAAAACAATTTGTTTTTTATACAGTGGACCCCCGCATAAAGATGGTACTAGCGATTTTTCCGTACCGTTTTTTATCGCAAAATTTTTTCCCCGCTACCGATTAAAAACCCGCTCACCCATTTTGTCGAGAGCGTCCAAAATGCCCTCCAGTGCGCCGTCCCATTGTTTACCAGCCGCCTCCGCGGTAACATCCAAGCATTTCACCCGGAAAATTTCGTATTATTACAGGTTTTCGGGCTGTTTTGGAAAATTTTGTGACCCTGGGCCCCCAAAAAGCTTTTAGTGCCCAACCCCTGGTAAAAAAGGGTGAGAATTAGTTGGAAATTAGAAGATTTTGAAGGGTTTGGGGCAACTTGGAAGCCTATGCCAGTTGTGGAATCCATTGTGCCTCTTCAAAGATTAAGGAAATGTGTGCACAGTGGGTTGAACTGCAAACCTTTATAGATGAAAATCACCCTGACACAGCTGTTGCAACGCCGTGCTGTGACTATTTCAATGACAATGTTGTGGCCCATTTTAGACAAATCGTAAAGGAACGGAGGTACAGAGCTCTATGGACAGATTTGTTGTGCGACAGAGGTCCAGTGACTCTCAAGCTGGCCCTAGTGGCATTAAAAAGAAGAAGGGAAGTAACCCGGAAAAGGACTTGCTACCTCAAGTCGTAATGGAAGGGGGATTCCCCTTCTAAACAGTAAGAAGATAATGCTCCCCCCTCCTCCCATCCATCAATCATCACCAGATCTTCAAAAAAGTAAGTGTCATGTAATTGTGCATGCCTTTTCAGTTTGTGTGTATTAAAATTAACATTTCATGTGGTAAAAAAAATTTTTTTTATACTTTTGGGCGTCTTGAAACGGATTAATTTTATTTCCATTATTTCTTATGGGGAAAATTCATTCCCCAAAACGATTATTTCGCATAACAATTATCCCTCTTGCACGGATTAAAATCGTTAACCGGGGGTCCACTGTACTATGGAACAATGCTTTTCTCCAGACTGAGGGACTGACCACCTCAAAACTTTAAGGGTGATGGACTGATTACATCGTCTTCAAGTATCTTCTGCTTCTATCAACTTTTCTGTACTCGACTGAAGAAGCCTACTGTGTAGGCGAAACGTTTCGAAATAAAGATACCTAACTGTTGCATATGTGTCTTACCTAACAACCTGTCGGTATTTTATACCATTTTAATGTTCACATATTATTATTATTATTATTATTACAATGTAAAAATTTGTAATTTTTATTCACACAAAAAATATAAGATTTACTGTTATGCCTTATTGCAATAATGTCAACCCATTCACTACTGCATATTGGAATATTGTTTACTCTTGAACATAGCCAAGCAATGGAACATTTTTACTTTTTTTATTTTTTTTATTATCACACTGGCCGATTCCCACCAAGGCAGGGTGGCCCGAAAAAGAAAAACTTTCACCATCATTCACTCCATCACTGTCTTGCCAGAAGGGTGCTTTACACTACAGTTTTCAAACTACAACATTAACACCCCTCCTTCAGAGTGCTGGCACTGTACTTCCCATCTCCAGGACTTAAGTCCGGCGTGCCGGTTTCCCTGAACCCCTTCATAAATGTTACTTTGCTCACACTCCAACAGCACGTCAAGTATTAAAAACCATTTGTCTCCATTCACTCCTATCAAACACGCTCACGCATGCCTGCTGGAAGTCCAAGCCCCTCGCACACAAAACCTCCTTTACCCCCTCCCTCCAACCTTTCCTAGGCCGACCTCTACCCCGCCTTCCTCAACATTTTTATGTTGAGCTCAATTTCAAGGTACTTTTCGTTGTGAAAGCAATCAAAATCACATCTAATTCTCTAATATATCTTCCATTCTATCAAATGAGACCAAAAAAACGAGAATACAACCATAAAAACCATACGAAAATACCGCTAAGGGGTGGCTAATTGCTGAGAAGTGAACTCCATGATTTGTGCTCCGATTTCTTTCATTTTTGGTGTACATTACGAAGCATCTTTCAGTCATACATTGCCCAAGTTTCAATAAGATAGTCCAACAAGCAAATGAGATACAATTCCCTAGATCAAGAACAAAAGCCCCTCACCAGTGTCAAGGAACCTGCCTTGAGGTCTGCTCGCTTATGGAAATTTTGCTCGCATATGGAAGCAAAAAATCGACCCATTGACTGCTCATATTTGGAAAAACTCGCCCATGGATGCGCTCGCAAGTAGAGGTTCCACTGTATACTATTATGGAATCAACAGGAAATCGAAGAACTACATGACAATATGTTGTCTAAAAAAGACATGTATAGTATGAAGCAAATTGGCTGAAAATTTATGGAAATACTGGTGATAAGCAAAACCATGCAAAATGCCATAAATGGATAATAAAACTGGTAGACCCTGGGACTACTGCGTAAGAATGTACATCACATATGAAGTGATTCAGTTGAGATGGTTTAAATAAATTTCTGGAAATAAAAAGGAAAAGAGGGTAATTAAAAATGCACTGACCTTTATTGCTGGGCAAGAGAGCATCATGTAGTAAAGCACATACAGCTCCCATCAGAGAAGCATCCTGACAATGCTGAAACAGCAGTCCAATATATACATACATGCATCAAAGGACCTTAAATTTACATTGTATTTTCATAATTAATAAAAAAATATATTGTATATGATATACAGTGGACCCCCACGAATTCGTGGTTCCAAATTCGCGGATTTTCCCTAGAACCTAACTAATAATTGTTCGTGGAAATCCCCGCAAATTCGCAGAATTTTTTTTTTTTTTTTGCCTTTTTTATGGCAATATGTAATTTTTCATGCATTTTAATGCTATTAAGAAAAATATAATTTAATAATTTTGTAACAAATATTAATGTAACGTAAACTAAATTAAATTATTACTATATATTTAACATACGCATAGCAAAGAAAATGGGGTTGCATGAAATACAGTATGTATACCAAAGAAAACAGGCTTGTATGAATTAAAGTACATATGCGGGTAACATCGGTATTTTACATTCTAGCACTGTGGGAGACATAGCAGTACAGTATTGTATATGGGTTTATCTTTACATTTTTTTTCTTTTTTTAAGGGTGATGTATAAAGCTGAGTTTGAAATTAAATTAAAGTGTTGTGGGGGCATATTTAGGGTTTAACCCTTAAACGGTCCAAAGAGACTGACGTTCAAATTCATAGTGCTACAAAAGTAGATCTACTTTTTTTATATATTTTCAAATATAACAAAAAAAAATGTAGATAAAAGTTTTTTTACACGTTTTCAAATGAAAAACAAAAAAGAAGATCTACATTTTTTTACATACTTTCAGATGTTGAAAAAACGTATATATACGTTTGGACCATTTAAGGGTTAAACTATAAACAGGCATTTATAAAGGGATTTTTTAACCGAGTCCAGAATTCATAGTTTTTCAAATTTGCATGTGGTCTTAAAACATAACCCCCGCAAATTAGGGGTAACTACTGTACTCATCAGAAGACATGAAGATCAAGTTGATTTACAGGCTACGTAAACTGTTGTCTTGAAGTGTAAAACAAATTTCACTCCCAAAATTTTAAAGAGGAAACACTTTTTTTAAAACAAAAAAAATAAAAGTAGCATGTTCTAACTTTGAGTCAATATATACACTACATTATAATACATCAAATTAATTTGCCTTCAAAAACATTTTTTTTTTTAACACTGGCTGTTTCCATACATACACATAGTCAAACACTCATGTAAACTTTGCTAACACTAAGAAAAATCATTGTACCTGCACAGCACAACAGTACAGTACAGTGTGTGTGTATCTGTGTGTATTCACCTAGTTGTACTCACCTAGTTGTGGTTACAGGGGTCGAGTCATAGCTCCTGGCCCCGCCTCTTCACTGGCCACTACAGGGTCACTCTCCTTGAACCATGAGCTTTATCATATCTCTGCTTAAAGCTATGAATGGTTTCCCGCCCCCACTCCATCACTTCCCAAACTATTCCACTTCCTGACTACTCTGTGACTGAAGAAATACTTCCTGACATCCCTGTGATTCGTCTGTGTCTTCAACTTCCAAAATGTGTTTCCCCTCTCTGGGCATTCTCTGTCCACCTTGTCAATTTCTTCAGTACAGTGGACCCTCGCCTAACGAACGCATCGCATAACGTTAAATCCGCCTAGCGATACATTTTAATGCAAAAATTTTGCCTCGGCTAGCGCTAAAAAACTCGCTCAACGTGATTCAGTCAAGACGTGTCCACGTGCAGCCTGAGCCCGCCTCATTTGTTCCGTGGGTGCCAGTGTTTACAAGCCAGCCACCGCGGTCGCTTCCAAGCATACAATCGGAACATTTCATATTATCATAGCCTTATTAGTGATTGCACCTGCAAAATAAGTCACCATGGGCCCCAAGAAAGCTTCTAGTGCCAACCCTACAGCAAAAAGAGTGAGAATTACTATGGATATGAAGAAAGAGATCATTGCTAAGTATGAAAGTGGAGTGCGTGTCTCGGAGCTGGCCAGGTTGTACACAAAACCCCAATCAACCATCGCTACTATTGCAGCCAAGAAAACGGCAATCAAGGAAGCTGTTCTTGCCAAAGATGCAACTTTGTTTTCGAAACAGAGATCGCAAGTGATAGAAGATGTTGAGAGACTGTTATTGGTGTGGATAAACAAAAAACAGATAGCAGGAGATAGCATCTCTCAAGCGATCATATGTGAAAAGGCTAGGAAGTTGGATGACGATTTGATTAGAAAAATGCCTGCAACTAGTGATGGTGTGAGTGAATTTAAGGCCAATAAAGGTTGGTTTGAGATATTTAAGAATCATAGTGGCATACATAGTGTGATAAGGCATGGTGAGGCTGCCAGTTTGGACCACAAAGCGGCTGAAAAATATGTGCAGGAATTCAAGGAGTACATACACAGTGAAGGACTGAAACCTGAACAAGTGTTTAATTGTGACGAAACAGGCCTGTTTTGGAAGAAAATGCCAAACAGGACCTACATTACTCAGGAGGAAAAGGCACTCCCAGGACATAAGCCTATGAAAGACAGGCTTACTCTCTTGATGTGTGCCAATGCTAGTGGTGATTGCAAAGTGAAGCCTTTATTGGTGTATCACTCTGAAACTCCCAGAGTGTTCAGGAAAAACAATGTCCTCAAGGCTAATTTGTGTGTGCTGTGGAGGGCAAACAGTAAGGCATGGGTCACTAGGGACTTTTTCTATGACTGGTTACACCATGCATTTGCCCCACTGTGAAAAAATTACCTAATTGAAAGAAAATTAGACCTTAAGTGCCTCCTGGTATTAGACAATGCCCCTGGTCATCCTTCAGACGTGGCAGAGCAACTTTCTGTGGAAATGAGCTTCATTAAGGTCAAGTTTTTGCCTCCTAATACCACTCCTCTCCTGCAGCCCATGGACCAGCAGGTCATTTCCAACTTCAAGAAACTGTACACAAAAGCTATGTTTGAAAGGTGCTTTGTAGTGACCTCAGAAACTCAATTGACTCTAAGAGAGTTTTGGAAAGATCACTTTAGCATCCTCAATTGTGTAAACATTATAGGTAAGGCTTGGGAGGAAGTGACTAAGAGGACCTTGAACTCTGCTTGGAAGAAACTGTGGCCAGAATGTGTAGACAAAAGGGATTTTGAAGGATTTGAGGCTAACCCTGGGAATCCTATGCCAGTTGAGGAATCCATTGTGGCACTGGGGAAGTCCTTGGGGTTGGAGGTTAGTGGCAAGGATGTGGAAGAGTTGGTGGAGGAGGACAATGAAGAACTAACTACTGATGAGCTGCTAGATCATCTTCAACAGCAAGAGGCCACACCTGAGGAAACTGCTTCGGAGGACGGGATAGAGAAATTGAGGAAGTTGCCTACTTCAAAGATTAAGGAAATGTGTGCAATGTGGCTTAAAGTGTAAACCTTTTTTGATGAAAATCACCCTCACACAGCTATTGCAAGCCATGTTGGCAACCTGTACACTGACATGTTGTGAAACACTTTAGGAATGTCATAAAGCAACGGGAGGTACAGGTCTCTATAGACAGATATGTTGTGCGACAGAGGTCCAGTGACTCTCAAGCTGGTCCTAGTGGCATTAAAAGAAGAAGGGAAGTAACCCTGGAAAAGGACTTGCCACCTCAAGTCCTACCTGGAGGCTACCTGGAGGGTATTCCGGGGATCAACGTCCCCGCGGCCCGGTCCACGACCAGGCCTCCCGGTGGATCAGGGCCTGATCAACGAGGCTGTTACTGCTGGCCCCACGTAATCCAACGTACGAACCACAGCCCGGCTGATCCGGCACCATCTTTAGGTATCTGTCCAGCTCCCTCTTGAAGACAATCAGGGGTCTTCCCGTAATGCCCCTTATTGCTGGTGGGAGGCTGTTGAACAGTCTTGGGCCCCGGACACTTATTGTGTTTTCTCTTAGTGTACCAGTGACGCCCCTACTTTTCACTGAGGGTATGTTGCATCGCCTGCCAAGTCTTTTGCTTTCGTATGGAGTGATTGCTGTGTGCATATTAGGGACCAGTCCCTCCAGAATCTTCCAGGTGTAGATTACGATATATCTCTCTCGCCTGCGCTCTAGTGAGTACAAGTCAAGTGCTTCCAGGCGCTCCCAGTAGTTAAGGTGTTTGATGGAACTTATACATGCAGTAAAGGTTCTCTGTACATTCTCTAGCTCTGCAATTTCACCTGCCTTGAATGGGGATGTTAATGTACAGCAGTATTCCAGCCTAGAAAGAATAAGTGATTTAAAAAGGATCATCATTGGCTTAGCATCTCTTGTCTTGAATGTTCTCATTATCCATCCTATCAGTTTCCTAGCAGATGTGATAGTGGCATTGTTGTGGTCCTTGAAGGTGAGGTTTTTGGACATTACCACACCCAGGCCCTTCACATTACTTTTCCTCTCTATTGTGTGATTGGAGTTTGTAGTATACTCAGTTCTAGTTATTATTTCCTCCAGTTTTCCATAATGGAGTAGTTGGAATTTGTTTTCATTGAACATCATATTGTTCTCTGTTGCCCATTGGAAAACTTGGTTTATATCTTCTTGGAGCTTTGCCATGTCCTCAATGGAAGGGGATTCCCCTTCTAAACACTAACACCATCAACACTCTCCCCTCCTCCCATCCCATCAATCATCACCAGATCTTCAATAAAGGTAAGTGTCATGTAATTGTGCATGTCTTCTTCAGTTTGTGTGTATTAAAATTAATATTTCATGTGGTAAAATTTTTTTTTTTGCTCACACTTTGGGGTGTCAGGAACGGATTAATTTGATTTCCATTATTTCTTATGGGGAAAATTAATTCGCCTAACGATAATTTTGCCTAACGTTGAGCTCTCAGGAACGGATTAATAGCGTTAGGCGAGGGTCCACTGTATTTTATGTCGTTATCATGTCCCCCTATCTCTCCAGTCCTCCAGTGTCGTCAGGTCGATTCCTCTCTTCATAGGACATATCCCTTAGCTCTGGGACTAGTCTTGTTGTAAACCTTTGTACTTTCTCTAGTTTCTTTACATGCTTGGCTAGATGTGGGTTCCAAACTGGTGTCACATACTCCA